CATAATATTCCACTAGAATATCCTGGTCTCTTTTTAAATGGTATTCGATTTACCTTATCCAATGGAAGGATATTCTTCACATTTTCCATGACAAAATTACAGCATTCTAAAGAGCAGCTTCTGTTACTGTAAGTCAACATTGTTCAAAAATTTGCATATGGAAGATGACTATAAATGTGGGTTGGCATTCCTATGTTCAGGTCACCCCACACATTCTCTAGAGAGCAAGGTATTTGAAAGCCACCTTCCCAGGACAACTATCGACCAGATGGACAGCACTGCTGTAAGTTATTTGTTATATATTATGTAATGGAGATTATTAATGATCACAGCTCAGAATTTCATCTACTCAGGTTTTATCCAAAATTTCTATTTCTGCACAGGGGGGATGTAAAAAGAGGCTGAGATTGTTAAGTGCAACTCCTTTTCTTTTCATAAATGAAGCCTTTATCTAGTAGGAGCTATTACATTTGATTTATAGTGTTATATTAAGAAAAAAGCCTATAAAGCAGGTCAATTAACTATATTGGTGTCAGATTTATTTCTTATCTATGTTCTAATGATGATATACCACTGTTTTCTATTGTATACCATGTGCTACCAGGAATGAGGTCCTATATAGGGTAATACATCTTGTATCTAAATATGAAATGCTCCCAAGATTAAAGATGACCTACAGGCGAAAAGATAACTACACAGTTGAATTGTTAATATGTGAACTGTATTGCCTGCCAAATGATTTGTAATTCTGTTCAACCAATCTTACAGACATCTTGATACAGACAGCCTTACCAGATAACACTGCAGTTAAAGGAAATGTGTAGTGAGAGAAACACAAAGGCTGCAGTTGCTGAGCTCAGCTTTTGAAAATGCTAGTTGCCTGGTTGTCATTATAATCCATTGGCTTCAGTACTTTGGGTCACTGAACTGGAGCAACTATTTAGATGAGGAGTATCTGGTTTCACTCTGACTTTCCATGCACATACTTGTTGTGGGTCAGTGTCTCAGAGAGAGAGGTAGAGTTCAGGTAGAATTTCATTTCATTTCATTTGAAGACTGAAAGAAGAGCACACTAAAATAATTTACATATTAGGAACTAGCAGTAAAAGCCCTCAATCACTTTTGTAGCTGCGCTCATTGTGCAAAAATTCATCTTCAACATTCACAATAGCAGCATTGAAATCTCAGCCCTTTTCCTATTAGTTTCTACTCCGGATGTTCAGATAGCAAGTATCGTACTACTTGTTACTAGTTCAAGTACGAGTACAGATACATTTCCAGCTCCAAGACTAGACTAAAAAACTAAAAAACTCAGAAAAACTCAAACGTTAGGAGGCAGCTGTCATTTTTAAGGAGCATCGGGTATGGGGCTTCTGGGACTTGTGCATCCCTGTTTTAATGTATGATTTGATATATATATACACTGTATACATACAGTGTATATATATATGTGTGTGTTAGGGGTGGGCCGATAAAATTTTTCCAGGCCAAGTATAAGTACTGATACTTGCCCAAGTACTCACAGATACAAGTACTGATACATGTTTGTTTATTGTCATGTGACAGTTTTTCTAAAACAGTACAGACTAATGATTTCAAGACAATGGTGGAGTGCCAGAGCCAGATCCCAGCTGCAACCGCTCCAACCCTGATAGTTTTCGTGAAAATGCCAAGTATCGGCACTTGTATCTGAACTGGTATCTGAACATCCCTACTTTCTACTGCACAGATTCTTGGCAGACTGCCAGCCCTCTACTGAAAATAAAGAAAAAGCCCCATCTAGTGGCCATAATGTATTAATACAACACTATTTTTGAGCTGGGAAAAATATACAAAGAACAATTGTTTTTGGCATCATTTGCCGTTTGAACGTTCACAGATATTTGCAGGGTGAAGGGTCCTTCAAATTGTTTATAAATAGAGACGTTGGTATCACAACCATTATACAGGTTAAAATAATAATGTGTTTTAAAAAAATGTCTACAAACATGTCAACTCACTAGAGCAAATGCATGGCCTTAGCTTACATACAAGTTAAAATACATATCTGTGATGCACTGTTCGTTAGTCCTGGCTGACCCACTCTGTATGCCATTTTGTAGTTAGCATATTTCTGAATGCCACACTCTGTTAGTTTGATTGTACTTCACCTACTTATAAGCACCCTACTCTGTATGTTGTTGTATATGTTACAAACTTCAAACTGCCACATTTTCTTCATTGTGCGGTAACATCAAACAGAACTATTCTATATGAATCCATATACAGGTGAAACTCGAATAATTAGAATATCGTGCAAAAGTAATTGCAGTAAGTGCTGCAAAAGGGGCCCAAACCAAGTACTGAGTACATATGCATGCTTGTACTTTTCAGAGGTCCGATATTGTTCTATGTACAATCCTTGTTTTATTGATTGCATGTAATAATCTACTTTTTTGAGGTTGTGGATTTGGGGTTCTTGGGGTTTTCATGAGCTGTAAGCCATAATCATCACAATGATGACAAATCACGGCTTGAATTATCTTGCTTTGCATGTAATGAGTCTATCTCATATATTAGTTTCACCTTTTAAGTTGCATTAGTGAAATAAATGAACTTTGCACGATATTCTAATTATTCGAGTTTCACCTGTATATGAAAAGGGCACGCACTTTATTCAAATTACCTAACCCTTTTGTAAAGTAGTATTAAACTCTCAATAATATATGTGTATATGAATAATGAATCCAGATCTATTTACATTGCTCAGGAAAGTATTTCTCTACATTTTTGCTCAAACCCTTACAAGCATCATGTTTCCAAACAGCTCCAACTCTCTCAGCTCAGCTTCCCTGAACTTCCTGTCCTGTACAAGATCACAAGGGACAGAGCAGGCTCCAGCAACTGCCTATCCACTGGCATGCTAGAGGGAAAAGGAAGAAGAGAGAAGGGAGGAGCAGGGAGGAGGGAGTGGCTTGCCCGGCCTGTGTGTTTGTGCAGACACACACAGCTCACTAGTATACACAAGGACCTCTATAGGACCTTGCAAGTGAAAGGAGCCACCCTACAACAGGATATCAGGGCCAGTGCTCAGCTGATTGTGCAAGGGACTAAAACTTTTAAACATCCATTGTAAGTAATTTAATCAGCAAATCAGTACAATTAATAGAAAGACACCACACTTGCATGTGAAAATGCCATTATATTGCTGGCGAGATTCTGTTACTGAGCATGTGCGGGCCCCTTTTTTCACTGCGCATGTGCTAAACAATCAGTAAACAATATGCATTACTTTGCCTCTTCTATTGCCTATTCTCTCTTAGTACTATTGCCTTCTCCTATCTCTATTTATGCATTCCTCTTTCTCTCTACTACTGCTCCCATCCCCTCTCACTAGTTCTGCCACCATCGTTCTCTCTGCTTCTTACTTCCCCTGCCTATACTGCTACCTCCCTCTTCCTTGTTTTACTTCAGCCTCTCTCTCACTACTCTTGCCTTCTTCTTTATCTTCGGCTGCCTTCCCCTATCTCTATAACTTTGTTCTTTTATCTATATTCCTGTCTCTCTTTCTCTACTCCTTGCAGCCTTCTCTCGCTATACTCCTGTCTTCACCTCTCTCTGTGCTGCTGCCTCCTTTGCTGTACTACTGCCTCCTCATTTCCACTCTTGCCTTCTTTTTACTCTCTTTCTGGTCCCTGCTGTGTGGGCCCCGTCTTTTACATGTGCTATAGCAACATATCTCTAAGGTCACTACCGTGCATGCACAGGATCTCATCGCCATATTGCTAATGGCATTTTGCCAGCAAAATAACAATTTCCTACACTGTCTACAGCTATAGATATACAACGATTTAACACTTTCAGTGCATCACAGGCTTTTAAACAAACTTCCAGTTGCTAATGCAGACAGAACTGTGTTCAGCCCACACAAGCCAACTGTTGGCTTTGTGTTGGAATTGATTCGGAGAGCTCTAATTTTGGGTTGTCACCAGAACAGAAATAGATGGGAAATCTTCCAGTGGGGACACTAGTTCTGGTGACCCTACTGACCACCAGGGATTTGCTTCTCTTTGGAGGGAATTCTTTCACATCCTGTTGTGGCTATCAGACAAGCAGTGAAGGGATATCTCCCCAATGGGACACAGATGGCAAAAAAAAAGCTGACGGGGGTTATAACTCTCCCTGACTCTATCCAAAACTAAAAAAAAGTCTAGCCTTCAGTTCTAATTGGAACACTTTGGGGGAAATTGATAAAAAGTGACTGAGACCAGTTCTATCTTGACTGGTGCCGTTGCCTATGGCAACTCATCAGCCGCTATCTTTTCTTTTTTTCTACACAGATTAGACAATGAAAATGTAAAAGCTGATTGGCTGCGCTCCAGTTTAGACTACGTTTGTCTCAGACACTTTTTTATTCATTCCCCTTTTGAGTCATTGACCCTGAATACACGTGCAGATGAGAAGTTCTTCACTAGCTGAAGGTTTATACAAAGTTACTGATTCAGAAAGGACAGAGGCGAGAGGCAGCCAGCAATGACAAGGTCAATGCTAAAGCCTGATGAAGGGACCCTGCGCGGTCCCAAAAGCGCTTGTTTGGTCATATGACAAAAAACTTCAATAAATGAAGCTTTTGCTATCTTAAAAGGATTGGTGTGCTGGTGACATTTCTACAATTTTGCTGACATCCGCGGTCACTGCGAGCACCCCCCACTACAAGGGACATATCGGTAAGGAGTGCGACAAGGATAGTACTTATAGCCAGCAATGACAGCCTCCATAGTTCTCCAAATACAGTTTTTTTTGAAAAATGTTTACTTGTAAAATTAATGGAAATCATATTAATAGTAAAAAAACATCAGTTTAAAATGTATACACTTTAAAAAAAGAAATGTAAAATAATGTTCCATTATTGTTTGCCTTTAAGTCAAAGATGCACTGCTAATACAATTAATCAGCCATTTCTAATGAATGTAATTTTTTTCTTATACCTTTTCTAGCGCCAACTTTCACCCAGGTTGATCATGAAAAAGCATTTTCTCCACTTCCTGATTACATTAGTGGTGACTGTGATTGTCCTTCGAACTCTCTTCATTTCAGAAACTATCCAAGCTCCAACTGAATTCTTTTCAGAAGAGGTGGTTGTTCGTCATGTTCTTCCAGTCGTTACTGAATATCCAATTGTAAAGTGTGTAGAAAATGACAGTGTTCAAAGTTTCCCAGACTTTAATGGTCAGCCACAGAACATGAAAGATTTTTTGACCTACCGTCACTGTAGAAGTTTTCCATTGATACTTGACTCCCCCATGAAGTGTGGTGGAGCTAATGGCTCCAAGGAAGTTTTCCTGTTGCTAGCCATTAAAACAGCCCCAGCAAATTACGAACGTCGGGAAGCCATAAGGAAAACATGGGGAGAAGAAAAAAGCTATGGAGGTGCCAAAGTAAAAAGAATTTTCCTTAGTGGAGTTTCAAGGACACAGAAAGAGGCAAAACGGATGCTGCAGCTGCTAGCAGCAGAGAGTCACACATATGGAGACATCCTGCAGTGGAATTTTGAAGACACCTTTTACAACTTAACATTGAAGCAGGTCCTTTGCCATAAGTGGGTGGATCTTAAGTGCTCAGGGGCACAGTTTATTTTCAATGGTGATGATGACGTTTTTGTTCACACTTCAAACGTCATTGATTATTTGAGCGGCTTGGAAATGGATGGATTGAAAAGGCATCTTTTTGTTGGAGCACTGAACATAGGGATGCCACCTATTCGTGAAAAGCCTAGCAAGTACTATGTCCCAGAAGAACTTTTTCCCGGTGATTCATTTGCACCCTATTGCGGCGGAGGAGGTATCCTCATGTCTGGCTTTACAGTTAATGCTATCTCAAGGGCATCAGTGCACATTCCCCTTTTTCCTATTGATGATGCCTATCTGGGAATGTGCCTTGCAAAGGCTGGTCTAAGCCCAGATAACCACGAAGCAATGCGAACATATGGCATCAGCATGCCAAACGCAGTGGACTCATTTGATCCTTGTTATTACCGTGACATGCTTATGGTCCATCGATTCATACCATATGAAATGCTAATTATGTGGAAAGCCTTACAGCTTTCCAAGCCTAAGTGCAGAACACAAAAAGTGAATGTTTCTAAACCAGCTCTACCATAATGAGAATATTTTTTTTATTGTATAAATTATATATAAGAGTGATTCCAGATAAAACCCTAAATTTAACACCAGAAAGCCGGGTTTGAGCTCATGTATAAAAACCTGTTACTTATTTAGCATAGATTAGAACTGTATAACATTAAATGGTATAGATATGCTAAAAGATATGAGGATTTATTAACTAACGCACCCAAAGAGACCAAATATACATAAATAAATGAATACCAGTTGTCCCTCTTTTTGGTCTAATATATAGATCACTGTAAATATAAATGCATTATGTAACTTCCAAAAGTGTTAAGACTGTACTAACCCTTTCAGCCAACGTTTGTTATTACCTATGTTGTTTTGAAAAGCCATATAATGAAATAGTGGTGATTTAACCAATAATTTTTTGCATATTCTTCATGGATGACTGGGGGTGTAGCAGGGGTTTGTCCTTTACCTACATGCTTCTTGCTAAACGTTCTTCCTTCTCATCTCTGTATATTGAGAGATATAAGATAGCACTGCACCAAAATCAATCTGACCAGTTTTTGTATACTTGCCTCATTAAATAAATAAATAAAAAACTACCAGACCAGTTGACTTTTTACATGCTACCATTAAAATGTATAAACTGTTTTTCGTGTTTTGTCTTGGTAGTCACTTCTAGAAGTAAGCAAAGTTAGAAGCACCCCAGTTTTTGTGTTGTGCTGATTCTCAGGAGGCATATTTAGGTTAGTTTAGTCTAATCCTTTGCTCCCCTGCCTCTGTTCAACTACTCTGCATGCTGCACAGATTTCCCCAGTGCTCACAGTGAAGGCTGTAATTACAAGGCCTGAACCAACACAGTGGGTATACTTGCTAATATAGCAATTTCACTCCGTTACTGAAAACAGTTCTGTGAAGGAACATGCATGTTAGAGCACACAAAGTTTTTACAATTGTTGAAGACCTTACTGTATATCAGCATCCAGTGCAAAGTCTCAGCCTATGTTTAATGTATAAGCACCATAGGGAGCAGACACCCAGGGTAGCACCCAAATTACACCGACTCATCGTTGTACGGTTGTGTTGGCCATCTTCAGCCTCTGCTTGATATTTGCTTTTGAATTTAGCAAATGACCTACGGTAGGGTTGTTCTGATAGCAAGTACCATACTCGGTACAAGTACATGCACAGATACTTTTCCAGCTCCAAGACTAGACTAGAGAAAAATCCAAAAGTTAAGAGGCAGCTGTCATTTTTAGGGCGCATACAGAGCTCCTGGGATATGTACATCTCTGTTTTAATGTATAATTTTTTTTTTAATAAATATATACAAGGGATGCACTGATACCATTTTTTACAAGTACTGATACTTGTCCAAGTACTCAGATACAAGTACTGATACATTTCTGTGTATTGCCATGTGTTAGTTTCTCTAAAACAATAGACTAATGATTTCAGGACAGTGGTGGAGCGCCAGAGCCAGGTCCCAGCTGCAACCCTTGTAGTTCTCGTGAAAATGCCAAGTATCGGCTCTGGTATCTGAACATCCCTAACCCAGGTCAGTGAGGGTTTAGGGTTTGTAAGATCAGGATAGTAACAATGGAGAGAAACCATTGCCGTGTTGCAATGTGAAACATTTTGCATGCTGTGAACCCTAACCTTTACTCTATTGTTACAGAGTAAACTGTTAATATTGGGATGTAACAGGCCAGAGAAGCTAAACTCTTCATTGGTCCCAAATCAGCACATGTGCCATATTCCATTGCCATGGCAGCAATAAATAAACTAAAATAGAAGGCAAGTGTTCTTTGGCTAGAGCAGTGTCAGAGTCATCCTATAGTGTTTTGTGCTGTTGAAATACACTAAACAGAACCTTGGCGGTATGTAATCCGTACACTTAGACTAGAATATAAATCAGTGGTCACAACCTTCTCAACGCCATGATATGTGTTAAAAATAGGCCCTTTTTTTTTTTACACAGAAAATATATTAAGAAAAAGCAAATCGGTGTGGTTTCATGGGAGATAGGTCATGTCTAACATGGTCAGTTTGTATGAGAAGCTCAAACCTGGAAGTTGTCTGAGCAGATTACAAAGAGGAAACCTGACATCAAGCTCCCAAAATAAATCTGGAAGATCTAGGCAGCCTGTAAGCAGAAGTGCTGGTAATCCAATTATGTTCTACTTGCCCTCACCAAGTTTCTTTGCACAAATTATAATTTTTTTGCTATTTCTGAGGCTACACAACCAGTGATCTGTTTACACTGCATGACAGTTAGGCTTGAGTGACAATTTACATAGTATTTGAGGCTGAATAAGGACACGGGTTCAAGTCCAACCTATTGCGTGTATGCATGTGCTTCTACATGTGTTTGAGTCCATGTGCGATATTGTTCTTCTGTGTACCCTGTGTACGTTACGGTCCCTGAGGAAATCTACCAAACTTTTTTTTGAACGATTCCACACTCATCGATGAAATCACTGCTTGTGGCAGCAAGTTCCAGACCCTAACTGCTCTAACTGAGAAGAATCCCCTACGCCCCTTGTGCTGAAATCTTAGGTGGTGGCCTCTAGTACTTGTTATTGTGTTTAGAGTAAAACGTTTATTGCTGATGTGGGTATGCCCGTTGAACATCTTGTACATCAGAATCATATCCCCCCCTTGATCGACTCACTTCCAGCATGAACAAGTTTAAATTTAGTAACCTTGTCTCATAGCTTAGGTCCTCCATCCCCTTAATTAGTTTAGTTGCCCTTCTCTGGACTCCTTCCAGCTCAAGGACATCCTTTCTGTCGACTGGTGACCAAAACTGGACCGCATACTCCAGATGAGGCCGAACCAGTGACCTATAAAGTGGCAAAATTATAGACTGGTCTCTACAGTACATTCCCTTTTTAATACAAGACAGTGCTCACTTTGTTTGCAGCAGCCTGGCATTGCTAGCTATTATGCTATCTGAGGTCTACAATGACCCCCAGATCTTTTTCCGTTTCAGACTTCCCTAGTGGAGTTCCCATTAATATGTATTCCGCTTGCCTGTTTTTAACCCCAAAGTGCATTACTTTGCATTTATCAACATTAAAACTCATCTGCCATGTAGTGGCCCAATACAATTTCAGTTATATGGTATTGGTAAGCTGGGGCCTATTGGATCTAATTCTCAAGCCCAAGACAAGAGTCCCACAACACCAACAATGCACACAATACAGTTTAGATAGGTGCATTTAGTTTTAGTATACTTAGCACAGAGAAAGGGGCTGTGAAAAATTAGTATTTTGCCAATAGCTTCTATTTCGCTAAAGCACAGGGCTCTGCTGACCTTCACCATGGAGTCAGAACTGTTTAAACATGTTCAAAAAATGTTTACCCAGCTTGTTTGCCTCCCGTATGTGCAGCGAGAGTAATCCATGCATTTAAATAAAAGGCTCATCCTCAGCTTGGCAACCCGTTCGCAATGTACCAGAGTTATTTTATGCCCGTTCCATTTCCACAAACCACATATGTACTAGGGATGTCCCGATGCCACTTTTTCAGGCCCAAGTACAAGTACTTCCCCTCATGTACTTGCCATACATATAAGAGTATATACTGCTCACACAGTGCAGAGAATACATTTACAAATAAACTTTGCAGCATAGTAGTGTGTCCCCCCTCCCCTCCCTCACTGTGCTGGAGAGAGCAGCGACGAGTCATCGCTGATCCAGTGGGAGGAGCTCCAGGTGGGGTCCTAATTTAGCTGGCTCAGAGGTGCCTGCCAGCTAAATTAGAATCCCACCTGGAACTCCTCTCGCCGGACCAGCGCTGACTCGCCGCTGCGGGGGGTTTCCTTACCTCGCCGAGCGTCGCGTCA